GTCTATTCATATACCAGTGCTATCACTGAACTTCATGATGCAGGATTTAAGGCTTTCAATAGTCTATCATATGTCAGCACATTTGCTGAGCTTCATGATATAGGATTAAGACTTTCAGTGATCTATCAATGAAAGAAGTGAAGCAATTTGTAATGTAAAGGGTTAAGCTCTAAGAACTAGAGGCTAGTCCTCCTATATAACAAGGATAAATTGCTTGAGAAAGGGAAGAAAAGAATGAGATGAGAACATGAGCTTAAGCAAGCTCGCATAGCATGATCATGTGCGCACATGCAAATGATGGCTAGGCTGAGTCAGCCAGCCAGAGCAAATCTAGGGGTTCAACCCCTTATATCTATAAATAAAGATCATACTCTTTGATCTAAGCAATAACTCAGTAATTTTTTAGTGCTTTATGAATACTATCTTCTTCAACTACTTGAATCAGTTCATGACTGCTTTCATAAATGATCTGCTGATTTACAGTAAAATCTTAAGAGAATATAAGAAGCATATTAAGAAGATGTTGATCAGATTATGAAAAGCTAAACTATAGACAAGTATCTCAAAATGTGAGTTTCATGTTCAACAGATAAAATATTTAAGTTTTATTATCATTGATCAAAAAATCAAAATAAATTCAAAAAAAATAACAATAATATTACAATGAGCAGTATCTAATATATTTAAAGAAGTTTAATTCTTTTTGAGATTCTATAACTTCTATTAGTATTTTGTTAAGAAATACAGTCAGATTATGAGATCACTGTTTAAACTTATCTGAAAGAATTATTCTTTCAAGTGAAATGAAATCTATCAATATATTTTTGATCAAATGAAGAGAGCTCTGTCTGAAGTCTCAGTACTTTATCATTACAACTTAAATTAAGAAATATGAGTGAAGATAAATATATTAGATAATACTATAGTTGATGTTCTATCTCAGCTGTGTAAGAATGAATAGTAATATTTCATTATCTTCTACTTAGCTTCTATGAATAAAGCAGAAAAAAACTATAAAATTCATAATAAAAAGATGCTAGCAATTATGAGAGCATTGACAGAATGACAAGCTAAGCTGAAAGATCTTTAGAGAATAGAAAGATTCAAGATTCTGACTGATTATCAGATTTTCAAGTACTTTATAACAACTAAGAATCTCAATATTTGATAAATATAATAAGCAGAGTTCCTCTTTTAATTCTACTTTCTAATTCATTATTAGCCTGAGTATTAGAATATAGTAGCAGATATGCTGAGTTAATCAAAAGTTCAAAATAATAATAATAATACTTAGATGCAACTGTTTCTCAAGTTACAGAGATTAAATCTCAAGATCATTAAGAAATTTATTAAGGTCAAAGGTTTAGATAAAAATAAGTATATTCTTGATAAAGTCAAGACAAGAAACAAAGAGATAGAATTACTAAGATCATGATGTGAAAAAGCATAAAAAGAACAATACTGAGAACTGATAGATGAACTTTTGTGTTTTGAAAAATGTTTAGTGATATCAATTAAGAAAGATTTTACTCTTCAGATGTATCTTCTAAAGAAGATTTATTAATAGTTATCAACAATGTATTCTGAGAAGAGAAAGCTATACTCACTAGTGAAAATGAGATATTACTGAAATGATTAAATCAAGAATATCAATCAGTATATAAAAAATTACTTAATATGCTAATGAATGAAAATCTTTTGTGATAGAACTTTAAAGCTGCTGAAGCTATTATTAATTTCAAACAGAGTCTGACAACATATTTCTATGAACTTGATAAATAATTCTATGATAAAAAGAGATCATGATATAATATTGATAATTGTCTATCAACTAAATAAGAAGTATATATATATTCTCATCACAAGAAAGATAGATGTTAAAAAGCTGATAAGACTGTTCTTGAAGTACTACTATAAGTACTATGAAATATCAGACTCAATTATATCAAACTGGGAATCACAATTCATCTTAAACTTCTGAAGTAAGTTCATCAGACAATTGAGAGTTAAACTGAAGCTATTATCAGCTCATCATACATAAATAGATAATCAGACTGAGATTATCAATTAATATTTGATGATCAAGCTTTATTTATATATAAACTACTATTATAACAACTGAGATGAGTGATTATCAATGATGAATCATATGACTAAAGTTTTGATGAATGAATTAACTGAGATGACACTCTTTCAAACTGCTTATGAATATAAATCTCAAATGTTCTTTGATTGGAAGTCACTATCAAGAATGCTATCTAGAGAAAAAAAGTTTAAATAAGAAGATGCTCAGCAGCATATTATTCAAATGAAGAAGATCTAAAAGCAAGTAGCTGATAATATGAAAAAGATATAGGAGATTATGAAATTATAGATTAACAAGCACTGTTAGAAATCAAACTTTGAGATAGAAGATAAAGTATTTCTGTCACTCGAGAACTATAGAATTTAATACTCCAGCAGAAAGTTCACAGAGCAAAATAAAAATCTCTTTGAGATAATTAAGAGAGTTAACAATAGCTATAGACTAAGACTACTAAATAGTATAAAGATTCACTCAATATTCTTCTCTGATAAACTACAGAAAGCTGTGAATGATCTTCTACTGAAACAACTAAATAAGATATTAGAACTGGTCAAAATATAGAATAAAAATGAGTAAGAAGTTAAAAATGTTCTAGCAAGCTAAGTTTCTCATGAGAAGCTTCAATATCAAGTAAAATAGCTAGAATTTGATAATGATTTAACATAATATTTAACATAAAATCTAAAAGAATCTCTGTAACTGATTTGAGAGTTTCATGCTACAAATTTAATAAAAGTAGAGCTCTCAAAGCAATTAAGTAAATAACTGAAGACTTGAAAAGAGAATGACTATTTAGCAGATAAAGTGAATAATAATCTACCAGCATAAGAGCATATTTAGACTTCAAAAGAAAATAATGTGATTATATAAAATGAGCTCTGTAGTCTTTTTAACAATATAAAATCAAAATGAACAGTAATTGCAACTGTCTAGACATTAACATAGTAACTAACCTCACAATTACCCTATATACAAATAACATGTAAATGTGGCAATCATATGGCAACTGTATTAAGAAAAGGACTATATAAATAGAGCTTTCTTCAAACCTATATTTTAGAAATTATCTTAGTATTCACTCAGATAGCTTATCTAGTTAGCAATCAAACATCTATTTATCTGCATCTAAATTGAAGCTGTGATAGTTTCTACTTACTCATACATCTCATGTTCTTCAGCTATTGAATTTTGAAGTTTTTTCACTCATAAAAAGCTACTATAAAACTGAGATCATTGTATTAAACTACCTGAATAATGCAGCTTCTGTAAAGAAAAGAAGATTTATATAAATCTATGATCAAGTATATTTAAAAGCCTTAAAATGTTATAATATATATAGAGAATGAAAAGTAGCTGATATAATATCATTTAATTCTTTTAAGAAATTAGATTTCTCTTAGATTTGAGATCAAAGTCAATCTAACTCTATACTAATGATATCTATAATTTCTCTATCTTCTGAACTGCAAGATTCCTTGCTTACAACTCTCTGAGATTCTAAACATATATATAATACTCTGCAGCAGTTAATTAAGAAGGAAATTCTTACAATAAAGCAGTAGGTTTTTTTTTTGCAATGCTAGCAAGGTGATTGATAAGTTGAATACTCTATAAGATGTTAGCTAGTCTACCAATTTTAAACTCTCTAATCAACTAGAGACTCTACAGCAGTCAAAAATCAAAAAGAAGGTAGAAGTTGATTCAAATACTCAGTTTATCAATATAGTAAAGATTTAGAAGGCTCAAGAGGAAGCTACTGCTCTAGAGGCCAGAAAATAACTACAGGAGTCAGAAATTGAGGCTAAAATAGCAGCAGTAGCAGCTTTAGCAGCAGGCCTCAAAGCCTGCATGTTTGAATGATAATTAGATTGAATTTGTAGTTAAAATATTTACTCAAATAGGAAAGAGGGTTGCTTTGGATAGAATAGTTGAAAAAGAATCTGATTGAAATATAAACTAACTAGCTTAGCATTATAGAAAATATGGTCCCAGATTACCACTCTGCGTCATATCATTTAATATATTCACTCTAAAGATGTAAATTCAACTTTGAGTCTGATACAAGTTAGAGTTGAAAACAATAACGTAAGTCTAACATTACAGATAGCGTCAGAGTATATAAAGCTTAGAAATATGATAAGAGGCAGAAGCGGCAAATCAACAAGCAGAGAAAAACAGAAGAGACAGTGGGGATCCAGTCACATCAGAGTCATACAATCAGAAAGAAAACGATAATTTTTTTTGAAAAAAAAATATATATAGAAATAAAACATGCCGATGGGACGAGCGAGGACCCAATAATTGAAAACTTTGTGTCCAAAAAACTGGAACCATCCTTTTGTTGCATCCACCGAGTTGTCGTGGCTGTAGCTCGGAAGAAGAAAAGGACGAAATAGAAATCTGGGGATTTCCGTTCGAAGAGATACTAAGAAACAGAAACTTTGAAATAAGATACGTGAAAGGATGAATTACAGCGAAACGCTGACTTAGACATAAGGTAAGCAGAATCTGGAGATACTGGCAGAAATCAAAAGCCAAGCAAATAAGAGTTTGCACCGTGTGGTATTCTTCCAGAGACGACAGTGGAAAAGCTAATACAGAGGCCAGAAAATTGCAGGGGAAAAATATAAATAAAGATGAAGAAAAATAAGAAGGGTTCTCCCGAATGGATGAGAGAAAACAACAATGGAATAGAAGCTTTTGCAGAATTAGAAGTGAGTTCTGCAGCAATTTACTGACAGAGAGGGAAGTTTTAAAAATGAAATGGCATGACAGATGTGTTAACACGCTGTAATGTGATGTTAACCTCTGGAATCCTCCCCTCTTTTAAAGTTAACACGGAGATAACACCATGGACATGCTAGAAGAAGAAAATAAAACAGGGTCACCAAAAGGCTCAACTAAAGCCACCATGTTAACGATAACGGGAATGTCTAGGGGCTGTACCGCTGACGCCGTGTATATTTCCAGAAACACTATCACCAGGGTAATTCTGGCAGTGGGGTTCTAAAGGGGGTTGACGTGCGTAGTCTATTTCATAGTCGATATATTCCCTCGGTGCCCCTCGCTGGATGGGGCGTTCTACGTAATAGCCACCGGGGTTTTGCTGCTCGCGTGGGCCAACTCTGACAGGAACGTATTCGACGGCACCATCGTAAGGTGGTTCCCCATATCTCGGTTCCTCCACATACTGATACGTACCACGAGACGGAAGACGAGTGAAGCCGACGGCTTGGTCTGTCAGACCCCTATCATGATATGGGTCTGGCGAGTGCGCAGCGTAGACTGGGCGTTGTCGAACTCGAGGTGGCATGGGGCTGCGTTCGCGGTAGTACGTCGGTTCAATGGGGAGAAGATCACAGAGCGTCGGAGAACGGGAACGTGGTCGGTGAGAGCCATGTCTTTGTGCCTCATATCTATCAAACCTGCTGTGAGGACGCCTTGCTTGGTGCTCAGGTTGATGCCGAGTTTCTGAGAAACCCATGTTCTTTCTTCCTCGGTGGTTATCGGTGGATTCTGGTGATACCTCCTCACCATGTCTGGAAGACGCATACTGGTCATGTTTCGAGTCGAAGTCCCGGAACCATCCAACTACGGGGCTTTTGGGTCGGTTCCAGCCTCCATGTTGTTTGCTATGCGTAGGGGTTCCAGAAACACTGCTTTCGGCTGTGCCACCGGTAGCTCCTTCAGCACGCCAACGCCGGTCATCATGCTCTGGCGCATCAAGCCATCTCCCCTTAGTAGAGTCACCAGCTTTACGCTGTGGCCCCCGAGACGTCATTATCTTGAATTCTTCAGATTCTTGACCAGGCACGAAATTACTCAAGAAACGTTCCGCAGCCGTCATTTCTTCAGCTGGGGCAGGTTGTGCTGGAGGGAGATGTTCCTGTGCGTGACTTCCTTCCTCCACTTCACCATCCTCCGAAACGTTCCTCATGGGAGTCCTATTTTTCTTGGATTCATTTGGCAGTTCCGCAGCTATGGAACCGGTCACAACGGATTGGGGATAGTCAGATTTAGACAGGCGGCCCCTGTATTGTGAAGGGAGCTGTGATGGTTGTCTGGATGAATGATGACGGTGGTCATCGTATGGATAACCCTTAGTTTGGTCAGCATCACTAGGCTGCTCTCTGGCTGGCTTCGAGATAGGCGAACTACGATTGCCATGGGTTGCATCCTGATCCCGTATATTGTGAGATCTATCCTTGATAGGGACTGTGGAAGTGTGACTTTGCCTTGGACGTCGAAGATCAATTCGATCATATTGGTTTCTGACTGGTTCAATGAAGGCTGGTCTATGGGGATCATATTCATCGTCCATGGGTGGATCTGGGCCTTTATTGATATCCGTGGCAGGTGATTCAACAAATCTCGGGAAATCATCAACCGCAACTTCAACATGATGATTTGGACTTCGCAAAGTGGCCTTCATATCGGTTGGCCTCTGTTCTGCAAATTTAGAACGTCTATTATTGCGGTGGCTGCGATGGACGTGTTTGGTGTCACGGGACTCCGGCGGCTTTCTATCACTCAGGTTTGAAAGTGGGGTGTGGTTGGCCGACGGGGGAGAGGGGAATACCCAAGGGAAAGCAGCTGACACTAACTGTAGTTTGACATCATCCATCCCGGGAGACTCAACCAATTCTAAAACTTTCGCATTGTTCGGCAGTACTAACATATCACGTTGCCATTCCAGCCTCGACGGTTCAGATCCTGGATGCGGGGTCGATTTGTTGCGGTCGACATGCATTGATTGGAAATGGCTAACTAGAGCAGGTAGAGTATAGATTTTGCGATCGGCTCTACTCGCGTCTTGGTGGTGCAGACGTCCAGAACCTTCAGCCTCACTGCAGGTTCTGCATACCAGGCCGCTAAGATTCCTTATGGGTTTCATTTGAGCATGGTTGTTCAAACCATCAGCAAAGAGTGTCAAAGGCGGTTCATTACCGAACCGTTCTATAAACCGAGATATAACATGGTGAATTACGACTTGAGCCCGGACATTATGTGGCAGGTCCTTGATACCAGATGTTCCATTCCAAATGCTGCGCGCATTTTTGGCTATGTCATCGAGTTGGGCTTGGTAGACGCCAAACGCCTGGCTATTGGGATTCGAACTATTCCCCGGAGCTCCACCCCGTCTTGGTGGATGCGGGTTACTGGAATACGGTGCAGCATAAGGTGGCTGGCCACACGCTGGTGGTGGGTATGGGGGAGGTGGGTATGGTTGAGAAGCCCTTGAATCAGTTGGGGGCGGGTAAGGTGGTGGATAAGCCTGCCCAGGAAATGGTGAACCATACACTGGATTCGGAGGATGGGGTGGCCTATAGGGCTCGTAGCCTCCACCAGGAGCATAGCCTGGCTGAGGTGCTGGATAGACAAAATTTGTTTGCTGTTTGGGGTAAAACGGGGAGGCGGGTGATGGTGGTCGATAGGGACCTGAGCCATACGCGTACGGAGTCCCAAATGGAGTGCGATTATAAGGTCCAGGCGAAGGTTGTGGATACGCGGGAGCTCCGTCTGGTGGATGATGGTGCACTTGGTCTGGGCCGGGCATAAACATCGGGCCATGGGACGGGTTTGGATAGCCAATGTGTCCCATGGTCGGACGGGGCATTGCAAAGAAAAGAGCCTTTGCAGCATTAGGATTAGGGTGGAAAGGAGAATGTTCCGGCCATTCAGCACGCCAGTGAACGACGACACTGCCCAAACTAAGAACATTAGTGTGCTTTGCAGCATAATGCTGGATTACGCCCTCGAATCCATAAAATTTAGTATTGCCTTCGCAGCCACTGCCATTGCAGAGGAAAAGCTCCTTTTGAAACTGTTCTGTCAGTGGTTTGATCTTGGTATCAAAAATGAACTTCATATTTTCAAGGATAAGTTTGCGGGTGGGCGGTACGCCGGGGGCATCCTCAGGGATAGGTTTGCCGGTGTTACGGGCCAGGGCGACCTCTTGCGCCAGGTCCCTGTAGAACTTATCCTTGACGTAAATAAGCACATCAGCAGCAAATTTTGGGCTTTTTTCTTTGGTGACAATTTCGCCGCCGCGCCATCCTTCACGGATTATTTCGTCTGCATACAATGCCATGCGATCTCGGACAGGTTTCTGTGCCTCATCCCATTCTCTGTCTAGCTGCTCTTTGGCTTCTCTATATTGTGCGTCTTGCTGTCGACGCTCCTCAGACCTGGCTTGGAGAAATTGGTCATGTTTTACCTTATCTTGTTCTCGACGCTCTGCAGCATCGCGTTGTGACAATAAGCGAGGCTTCAAAATGGCCCAGTCACGGTCAGTAAAAGGATGTGGAATTTGAATGGCAGCCAAAAACGAATCCATATGGCTCAGAACAGCAGGTGTCAAAGGTGGTACAAGATCTAAACAGCGCCGCTCTATTTCGGCTTTGCGACTTGCCTTTGCCTCATTGACTTCTCGGAGGCTACGTTCCGTCCGTGGGTGATGCGCCGAGTTTGAGGACGATAAAGGTTGACTTGAATCAGGACTCATTGGGCGTGGGGGAAGTTTAGAACCTGGATGTTGAGAATTAGTTAGTAAACCTTTCATATGTTGATAGGCTGAAATAGTTCTGAAATTGAAGCAAGGGGGAAAAGCTTGAAAGGGCACATAGGAAATCAACTTCACTAAGATCAAATTTTCATGTCAGGTGCAGGCCCCGTAATGCTTACCAGAAGTATGTGAAAGAGTAGTGGGACTGCTCTGGCCGTTGATAGATTTGTCATTGGTGAGTGGAGTAGATTGTCCAGAATACCCAGTAGTCATGTCTATAGGTTGATTTCTCACACCGAAATCCAGGGAAGAGGGCGGCAAAGGGGCTTCGCTGTGATGGATTCGAGCAAGCCGAATGGATCGAAGACCACCTGATGCTTCCCATTGTTCTAAGCGAGCAGCATCAGCAAGCTTGTCCTTGCCATTGCCTTCAAGGCCCTTGATCCACTCCTCAGTTGCGGCAGGGCCAAGCGATTTAACGTCCTCAAATTTACGCCTCATGTCATCGACATGGGGTTTGTAAAAGTATTTAGTCAGGATCATGTCAGTTGGCGGTTGATTGTTGCGCAAAGTTACTGAGGAAGCAAAATGCATTGACGGGGTAAAAAACGCAAAGGGAAGAGATGGAATTAGTATGGATGGCAGAAGTGAAGAGAATAAAAGATCCATTTCCTAATACCGTGTTAGTGGAAATATCAAATAAAACGTTTGGGAGGGAGTAGATGAACCTTTTCAGATTTGGACTTGATACATTCACCACAAGCTCGAATCCCGAAAGGCCAAATAATACGAACTCCACCAAGACCTGGCCCGGCTTCCCATATTGTATTATCGGTTAAGGATGAACTGGAACTGGACTTTCCACAGAACTGACAAGTATTTCCATAGACAAGTCTCCACATTTCCAACTCCGTCAGGAAAGACAGCGGGCGTGGCATTCCCGGATAAAAGGCTCTCCGAGAAACAGACCAGATGGAATTAGGGATAAGATACTTTAACGCTCCCGACGTTTGAGGAAAATCGGGCAACTCCGACTCACTTGGAGTGAGAAGGGACTTGAAGGCCTTGTTCACGCATAAAACGCGACCTAATGAGGTAGGCGGAAGAAATGTGAAGATATGCTGCCATACTTCTCCCGGTAATAGAGATCCATCGAAAGGAGTGGCTGACTGTACATGGCTCTTCCCTGAGGGAAGAACGCATGACCCATTGAGATGGTTGGATTTTACACGTTTGTTGCCATCCTGAGAAAATGTAGTTGAATGTGACTCACGAACGGGTTCCATTCTAGGAGTGTCGTCACGTCTGGCAAGACTTTCCATAGAGTATTGGTTGCTGGAGTCCATGGACATTTGAAGGTCATTTGTCGACCGCTTCCGTTTCAGCATTGGAGTATGATTTTGATTGCCGCGTTCATCAAGAAAGTTGGGGGCCACTGCAATATTCGTGGCTTTGGTGTTAGACACATGATTAATTGCCACATCGGGATCCGTAGAGTGATGTTGCTGAAAGCTATCGGAAGCATTTAAATCATTTGTTGAGCCTCTAGGCTGATAAGTCGAATGGCCTTGCTCCATGGCAGCACCGTCTGTGTAAGGATTAAATGACGACCCGGTACTGCTGGGCGTGGATGTGATTTCTGACATAGATACCAAACACCTGCGGTACAGGTACGATTGGCATAAATGAAACGTGAAGAAGGATAAGAATAATCAAAATCCTAGGCAAATGAGTCCTCTGAACGGGGGAGAGGAGGCGTAGAAAGACAATGTGCTCACAGGTGAATCAAGCAGACACAACGAGAAATGTCCATTTAAAGTCACCAAGAGCTAAAAGAAAAGGATGACAGAAACCAATCCGAGTACGCGTCAGCCGGTCCAAGAACACTTGGATAGATCCCCTTTGGGAGAAGGTTGGCCAGAGACGAAAATATGAGAGAAAAAAATGAGTTGGCAAGCCAGGAACCGGTATCAAGGGAGCACCATCAAAGAGTTTAAGATCGAACGAAGCAATAGAAAACGGCACAAGAGCGCCTTACGGGATAGAATACAGTAGCCAGGAGATCACAGCTCGAGAGAGATGTGATTCTCTAGAAATACACAGAGAGGAAGATAAGAGCAACTTGTGAATTTATTGAAAGGCCTTGGAAAGGCGTACAGAAAGCGCGCGAAAGCGCGCAAAGAGTAATGTTGCAGCAATAACACAGAAATGTAGCTAACAGCCACGCTACACTTGGGGATAAGGCTAACAGATAATAAGAGGTGATGGAAAATGTGTTGTTGGGGTGGACGCGATGCGTTGTTGTCGATGGAGATTGGAAACGGAATGGTGATGGAGAGGCTGAAAAATTTTCCCAAAATAGTTTAGTGCGGGCGGGGTGAAGTCCAACCACGCTTCACTTTTGCAGCCAATCAGAAGCCGCAAGAAACTTCAGGCACGTGGCTTGGGTATTAAGCCGTCAAGACCCCTGGAAAATCCCAACTGCGATGGTAGCAAAAGCTCTTGTATACGTGTAAAGGTAGGATGGTTAAGAAGAAAAGACCATGCTAACTATGAAGTGGATGAGTAAAGGAAGATATATAACAAATACCCGCAGCAGGGTGCACAACAGCCTGGCGGAATACTAACTGTAGCACGATGCCTGGAATATTTCTTTAGAATAACTTGAAGCAAATTACAAAATACTTTTGAAGAAATGTCAATTTAGTTTATCATTAGCACTTTAGCACTTATAATGTCCATACAATTCATTGACATAAAAAGTAGTCTTCTTAGTTTTATGTACTTTATTTATTCTTAAATAAATTATCAAGGTGAATAATAGCCTGCTGATAACTACAATAGTTATTATAATAATTTCTTACTGAAGTAAACAACTTTATTAATTGAACAGTTAAATTTAATTATCTCAACTAGTTGAATTTCAATTTAAATTATCTATATTTAGCAACTTTTTAATATTTTCAAATAAATAATACTAGATTTATAATATTAGCTATTTTAAATTTTTGAAAATTATAATTATTATATTATAATAAAATTTATAATTATATTAAAATTAAAAATTATAAATTTAAAAAATTAATTATAAATTAATTAATAAATTTAATTATTATTATAATAAAATTTTAAATTTTACTTTTTATTAGATTTTATATATTAAATTTTATATATATATTTTTTATTAAAATTTTTTTATAAATAATAAATTTTATAAATAAGCTAATAAATAATTTAATATATTTAAAATATTAAAAATATTAAGTTTTTATTAATAATTAAAGATAATAATATTATTATTAAAATATATAATTAAAAAATAAATTTTAATAAATTTTTTTTAAATTTAATAATTTAAACTCTACTTTGATAATTTTTATAAAAATCTTTTTATATATAAATAAGTAAAGAAAAAAATAATTTTTATTAATATAATTATTTTTTATAATTATTAAATTTTATAGTTAAATAATTACTAATAATTATTAAAAATAAATTATTATTTTTATATTTATTAAATAATTTTTAAATTAATTTATATTTATTATATTAATAATTTAATTATTAATATATATAATACTTTTTTAATTTTAAGAAAAAACTAATTTTTTTAAAAATAATTAGATATAATTTCTTATTATATTTAACTATAATGATGACTTTAAAGATAATATAAAATCTTATTATAAAATTAATATTATTAAAGTTTTAAATATTAATTTAATAAATGTTATATTTTTGAATAATTTTATATATCATCTTTAATTACTATTTTATAATCTTTGAATTCTTCTATTTCATCTGTTAATAGAATATACAGCAATTATAATATGCATGTGTAGCGGGCTAGTCGCTGAGAACGGCCGACAACTAACGCGTGTGAAAACAAAAAGGAATCGTTAAAGGGAAAGGAAAGATAGATCATGTATGGATCAGGCTTCTTTTATATAGGGCAGGCTTCAGTAGTAAGGGGCTTTTTACGAGGATGATTGAGGCATTGCCTCGTGGTAGAGGCGCCGCCTCGGTAGTATACAGATAAAGTGGAGTTGCTACCTTGATAGCGCCACTCGATAACGCTGCATAGATCGCACGAAGGTCTAGGTGGTGGAGGCGCTGCTTTGATAGCGCCGCTCTAATAGCGCTGCTTCGATCGTACGAAGGTAGAACCTGAGTATCATGAGGGTTAGGGCACAACCCTTTATAGTATGTAATTGAGAATGCTGTTGAATAAATCTAGATATTTAGTTAACTTTAAAAATGATAATAGAATTAAAAGAACCATGCTTGAAGTAAAATATATATCATTTCATGCAGAAACTCTGATCAGATTGAAAAGTCTCACTTATCTGCATTCAGTAATTGCTTAAGAAGGATTTTCTCTTCAATCTCTGTCAATTTGTGATCATTTGTGTGTGTTTCTGGGTGTGATTTGATGCCAGCAAGCTGTTTGTGCAGAGTAGTTTCAGAAATCTCTTATATCTTTGCAGCTTTCATCATTGATATATATAATATATACATATATATTTTGATTTATATGCAACAATGGTCAACTGTATGTGAGATTCTTGAGATAAGAACATTTTGAATAAAAAACATGAAGAAATGATGTGTTGAAGATAGTTGAGTCGAATATTTGATAATTTTCAGAGAGAATCCGCCACACGGTGGTAGCTATCAGTGGGATGAAAGAACGTTGACTATTTGTTACGTGATGCGGTTAATCACATTATCCTCTTCAATCACTCAGCCACCAACGAGCTCTACTCGCTTTTCATTGGCCAGACTTGTTTGCACCGCCACGTTCAATTTGATGACTCATCGTAATTATGGCTTGGAAGTGTCCCAAGTGGTGAATTGACACAAGACAAACATAGGCGTTCAATTTTTGGATTTACACTTTTGGATTTACACCTACAGCTACTGCTGAGAATATAGAGATTTGCACGATTTGTTGACCTTCTGCCTCTTGTCGTCCCTTTTCTCTTCATATCTGACATTTAGCTGCGAATTTCTACCGCGTTTCTTTACCGCCACGGTCTAGTTAAAAGAGCCACAATTAGGCATTCCTTGTTCAATCCTTTTACTCGATCCGAAGTGAAAACCACCCCTCTCATTCTCGAACTTATATCCACGCTGTTGAAGAGCAGATACTATTGGATTGCTTGACTGGTATTCTGATGTACCGGCGGTTTACCAGTCCCTTTATTACATCATTTATTATACACTCCGTCTAGGCAAACTTATAAGTATGCATATCTCCTAATTACACCCCGAAGGCCCGGGACATTGGCTGACATGCTATCATTACCTTGACGACAGGCTACCAATTCATCACGGTTTGCGTTGATCGCTGCTCGGTCACCTTGAGTCTACCCATTACATTAACGCCTCCTTCAACTTCCACACCATGGCTACTTTAAACTTGTCCACTAATGGACCAACCATCTCGAAAAGTTATTGGGCTGTGGTTGAAGCCTCAGTTCCAACGGGACCTGCCGCTGCCTCGCCAACATATGGACAGTGGGCCATATTTGCCGTATCCACACCTCTAGTCAATGCATTTCAACAAAATAATGCAGGGAAGGAAAGCGTCTTGAAGGTCCAGAGCAGCGGAGGTTTGTTTCTGTCATTGCGGCCCATATCAAAGTGAACGATCCTGATTGCTAACAGATTCTAATAGAGGGAGAACTAGAAGACCTTATTGAGGATTTCTCTGATGGAAAAATACAATTCGCCTACGTGAAGGTCAAAGATCCAAATACCGGACTTCCTAAAAACGTTCTTATTGGCTGGTGTGGTGAGGGAGTCCCAGAAAGAACAAAGGGATACTTTACAAGTCATCTAGCTGCCGTGTCTAAGGTTTTACATGTGCGAACTGTCATCCATCGTTCCCTCGTTTCTATGGTTTTTGTTTGTTAATTGATATCCAGGGATACCATGTCCAAATTACCGCTCGATCGGATCGTGATCTAACCCCAGAAGGTATTGTACAGAAAGTTGCAGATTCATCTGGTGCAAAGTACTCCGTAGGAGATTCTCTAGCAACCTTCAGCGCTGCCTCCAAACAACTTGTCGCATCCAAACCAGTTTTTAACCCCGCAAGGACCGGTTCAAACTTCAAGCCCCTGGGCGCAACTCACCCTACGGGTTCACACGGAGAGCAGAGGGTAGATGATGATGGATGGGGAGAAGATGCGCCACCGGTTACAAGAACGCAACTCGAGAAGGTCAAACCGGCATATCAGCCAACCAAGGTTAACATGCAGGAGCTCACGTCCCAGAAATCGCACACATCAAATATCGCTCCTCGTTCTGTGGAGGATAATTCTTCATGCGACATCGTAAAAGGTGGTTATCAACCAATTGGAAAAGTTGACATCGCTGCCATTCGTCGCCAGGCGCGTGAGTCCGGTCAGTCTCAAGATGATCGTCCCGAACCAGTGAAAGGAGCATACGAACCCGTCGGAAAGGTGGATATTGCTGCGATTCGAGCCAGGGCGCAGGGCCAATCTGAAGGGCCACGGGCGCCAGCAAAACTTACACCTCCAGTAGTCACGGGAGATTCCACTGGTAGTGAGGAACGGAGAAGCATCGCTGAACGGTCTGCTGCATTCTCTTCCGGGGTCAGGTTAACAAGTCTTCCCAAACCAAAAGTTGCCAATAGATTTACAGGCGGTTCCGCTTTCACTGGTACCAAGGCTCCAATTCCCGGTGGATTCGAGGCAACTCCAACCGCGAACGCTACTACCGTGTCAGGTGCAAGTCGAACATTTGCGGATCAAGGAGGTAAGACACCAGCTCAACTGTGGGCTGAAAATAAAGCACGGGAGAGGGGTGGTGTAGTGGAGAGTCCGTCTCCGTCCTCAGGCATTCAACGGCCACTGCAAAACCAGTCCAGCGGCGGAGGTGGATGGAAAAGTTCTTACGCTGGCAAATCTTGGGAACCGGTTAAAACTACACACACGGGTAGCGGTGGTATAGCTCATCAACATTCGGGTAGCGAACATGGGAGAACCAGAACTCCCCAAAACCCCGAAGAAGAACTAGAGGATGTCCCACGTGGAGGTGTGGGTTTCATCCGGGATCGATTCGTGAATGCCCCTCCAATGGGCGCTGCCGCACCAGAGTTCCCCTACGAGCGTTCTGCACCGTCCCCGCCCGCCTTAGATACCACCAGTAAGCCAAGTGCAGCTCGCGGCGTACCTAATCCTGGACCGCCACTCCGACCCACTGAACCTGACGAACCACACGAAGATCAACACCAGGAAGTACCCACCCCGCCCCAGCAACCACGCTCCCCAACTCCAGAATCTCCCGCCTTTGCTCAACCAAGCTCTCCCATTCGAATTGCTCTGCCAGTAGGTATGGGATCCGCAAATGAGAAGGTGGCCGATGCACACGAGGAGCAGTATTCTCCCCCAACCGCTCTACCGATCCGCTCGCTTGAGCAGCAAGTTCCACACGAAGAAGATCTGGACGATGAACGTATTCACGACGAAGCCCGCGCCGTCGCCCAAGCTTCTGCATCCGAACATCATCGCGAACCAGAAACCAAATCTGGTCCTTCTGTTCGCGCCCTAGTCGTTTATGATTACGAGAAAACGGAGGATAATGAAATTGACCTGCGTGAGGGCGAATATGTCATGGAGATCGACATGGTGAGTGATGACTGGTGGATGGGTATCAATGCCCGTGGGGAGCGTGGACTGTTCCCTCAAAACTATGTCGAGGTCTCCTCGACACCGAATCAACTGGCGCCAGCATCGGGATCCGGCCCTGCGCATCCACCCGCCACTGGGCGGACGGCAACTGCACAGTATGACTACGAAGCTGCTGAGGATAATGAACTCGGATTCCCTGAAGGAGCGACGATCACAAATATTGTAGGTTTTTTGGTTCTTTTCTTTTGTCGATGCATAATCCGTCGTCTCTCTGGCCCGTTCAATGTCGCATCGACTAACCTGTTACTCCCCACTGTAGGAATTCCCCGACGAGGACTGGTGGCATGGCGAATACAATGGCCAAAGCGGCCTCTTCCCATCTAACTATGTTGAATTGAATTGATTCTGAAATTCCTTAAAGCGCTATGAAAGTATCTTATGCATCGAAGATCCAGGCTGCAACCGTTTAATTATTAGTGTGAAATAATGGTATTCATTGCCTTTTTTCTTTTTTCTTTTTCTCTTTTATTCTTCAACTGCCTCGTGTGCTCGTTTCTCTTTTCCTTTCACTTTGGCATTTCGTCGAGTTCACTTCAAAATTGCCCTTTTGATTTTATAAAGACTGATGGTGACTGTATCATTCCAACTGCCTTTTTTGTGGAGGATAGGCGAAGTCCAAAAAAAGTTACCAACCTTCCCATGTGACCTAATTACGTTCACCGAGTATTCTGAGCCGGCTATGTAGCAAGCAAATATATGAGCATTTCTTGAAACTTGCAGGGTGAACTATTTTTGAATATGTTTTCAGGAGCCGCGTCATCGACAATTTATGAACCAGTAAATTATTTTCGTTGATTAGCTACACATCTAGTTCCTTCTTGCTCTAACAAAAACTAAACCAACTGAGCATGTCAGACGCCTGCGAAACAAATGGAGAGTAGATTGATTGACACCCTCCCCATCTTGGGTAGCCAACCCAACCCTCATCTCATACTTATTTAACTTGACCGGGGCCAGGTACAAATATTATAAGCCGATCCAATCCAATCCAATCTATCAATCCTCCCCCATTTTATCATCGTTCTGATTGGTATTTTATTTTGGCATCTCATACTCCATTACCATCCGCCGTTCTCCACCCAAAAAAAATTAGCCCCCACAACATGTAACCCATTTTCCGTCGCCCAATCCCGTACCCCATACCCGCGCTCACCATAGCCCCAATCCTTCCTATCCCTCGGCACAGTTACATTGTTCGCCGTAGACGAGTTGCCCTCTAACAACACGAAGACAAGGCGATGAGGATCAGTTCCATTGTGGGTCCATGGGGCAAGATATGGCACCAAGACTTCTGGGGTGAAGGTCCGTATGGGAGTAGGGGAGTAGTCATCGACATTGTGTTCTAATTCAAACGGATGGTATTCTGGAGAAAGTTCCATATTTGAGAGATTAGATACGATCCAGTGGCACATTTCGCTCCTGGAGCCGTCGTGGTTCCTTGAATCTGGGTCTGTGAGGGCGACGGTGTAGACATTTTCGGTTTGCAGGGCTGGCATCGGACTCATCGGGGGGCGGCTTAAGTGGTGGAATTCGAGGACTGGTGTTGTCCAGGTGTGGTTCGTCGTGACGTTATTCCCTAAACGTGTGGTGGTGTGGGTTGGAGGGTAGGCTATGTACAGAGTGAAAGTTGGATAAAAATCGTCGAGAACTGTATTTATGCGTCGTGTGGTGAGCTTTTGTTCAAGGGGAAAATGTCTGGGTAGGACTCGATATTTTCTGTTTGGAACTAACCTTCAGGAATTACATAGGATTTAACCAAGCTATAAGAGAGGGAGACGGTAATATCAGTTAGTTAAAGCCGTTATTATATGTGCGACAAGGGACTAGAGGCGCATTTGCAGCATATTCTCAACTTAGGTGTTTAAGCTCACGCATCACGGATTGGGGAGATCACTTGTATTCCATCATCCTGGATAGGTTGCTGAGGGTGACTGCTGAAGGTCAACTTGGCCAATGCAATTGAGCTCGTCACAATCAGAGAGAAAATGAATCTGACCATGCTGCAAGACTTTAATCTAGATAATATTGGCAAGATATATAATCAAAAGAGTGTAAGTGAGGTGCGAATACGACCCGAGAAATTTGTAGTGTAGAGAGTGGATATATGTAGCTGTTGATGTTAGTAATTCCAGCCTCATCAAGAGTCCTCGGGAAAACTGATTTAAATTGTTTATACAGTAGGACATTACTCTACGCCAAAGGTTTAAACTTGATAATCAGACCATTTGCAAGGTTCATTGTTGAAACCTGAAGCTGTATTTAGACGATTCCCGATGAGAGAGTTATATGATGTCATAGCCCCAGGTTGACGTAAGTGACAATGAATTGATGACCACCTGAACCGACGAAATAGTTCAATGTGCCCACCAAATCAAAGATCAAAGCTTCCAATTATGAAGGAAGGCTTCGTTTAGCCATTAGAGCCAAACTGAGCAATTTTCAAGCATGTGAGCAGCTGCCAGGATGTCTAAAATTGCTCTCTCAAGCTGATTCTGATGTGTTCACTCAAAAGTGTGGTTATTTAATGCATGTGGTTTTACTTTAAAAAAATGCATATTTTACCCTGCTACCTTCAGACTCACTACTCTGTTTTAGTAACAGGAATATTGAGCTCACAGTAGCTGAATTTCTCTTTTACATAGATGTAAATTATATTATTAGTAATAAAATACTGAACTAGTTACTTTCATATAGTGAACTAATAATAACGTTAACTAGTTAGTTAACTTAGTTAACTATATTTATATAACTTACTTATAATTAGATTTTTAACTAAATATATAATAGAAATTGAATTTTCATCTACGGCAATTGATATATCTTGGCAGTATTTAGACTGACGGGTAATTTCAGAGGCAAACTCTAATCGACGCTAAAACTGTTCTCGCATGTTGACATAAAAACACTATCTTGACCTGTAGGAGAAAAGAGATACGGGCAATGTAGATAGATGTATGAGTTTATAAGTACAAACTTTTTTATATGCTAATCTATATCTATAAAAAAAATAGCTAGCTAGGAGGAGCCGCTGCAGTACTTCATTTCTCTTCTCTTCATTGCAGTTAAATATATATGACTAAAAAATAATACTGTATGTTCATATCCAAGTGTACTATTTGTTGGGCGTATGGTTGCCCGGGCGGCCTCCTCGCCGCACGTGATATGGCGTATATTAGATAGCTAGCTAGGCCTCCCAAAATATGAACCATCCAACCATCCCACTCTATTGTGGTGTTGTCAGTGACCTGATACTCACCTTATTTGTCACATGATAGGTGATATATCAGGCTGTAGCGAGCCCTCTCAAGAACGATTCGCTTGCTTCGCTCACTTCTATGCTTGTAATAATAATAATAACAACCCTCACAGAAGGACTCTCATAGGCTGAAATCATTTTCAAGATTGTCCACTTCTACCAACTGTAGCTCTGTGTACCTGGGATCGTATGCTTTGGATGCAAGTAATTGAAACCTCAGGAAGCTATCCAACAAGTCTTCATACCATTTCAGCTAGGACTCTTAACCATTTCTCCCGGGCGATATTGAAAAAGGACAATTTGCTCAAGAATCTCTAGCAGCAGTCAGCACAAAATCAGTTTATGGTTATGAGAAGCGGGATGTACACGCACAGAGCTTACTTCTTGGTGGGGAAATGGACGCTTTTGACCTCGCCCTTTGCATACACCGGTGAAATGATCCCTTGGATCAGCGCTGTCATGCTTGCTCCCCCTACATTTACATTAGCCTCGAGAGCACAACAGAACATTCTAACAACCTTGCACAAACATCCCCTGCGCCTTCTGGTTAGGTTTCTGTAAAGTCTTTGACAGTAGCAGTAAATGGGATTGCTGCTGCATCAACAGCACTCTCGGGCCGCATCCAATGGGTTATCCTCGCAGCCACCGAGATCGCAATTTGCATCCCATTTCTCGTGAATGAGTCAACCACTTTCTTGGAAAGGATTCTATTGTAAGACATATCATTATGGGTGCTTGCTCAAGAGACATCGGAAAATATATAGTCTGAGCAATAAAGAGACATAAACAAAGGAATGGATGATATTTCCGGCATTGGGAACTCAGGGATCGCGGCCTTCAAACTCCTCTGACGCCCCCCCCTGGGGGAATGAAAGGCAAAGTCAATGACTCTAAAGATGTTCGGCGTGTCGCCCATTAGCACCGGCATACACACTCAGAGTCGCTGAAAGATTTAGTGTTATCACAAATTAGAAGCTTTGAAACTCGAGAAGTCATGGGCCAGAAGCGCCAGGCGAGAACACGACGGAGACTCATTGGACACCATCAGAGAGCAGTGGGAGGGAGCAGCAGAGGCAAAGGGCGATTGGGTTGGCTAAAAGCTGGCAGCAAACTCACTGCGTACAAGCCCATTGGGCTGGTGCTATCGTTAGGAATCAGCATCCCGCATGTTGATAGCAGTTAGGATCAAGAGAGGTGAAAAGACCCGACAAAGCCCCAAGCCTTTTGGCTCGAGGCAAATGGTTACCCCAGAGAGCGGCGCGGGGCTGGAGGAGCACCGTTTCGACAACTGATTTGGACATCCTCGGATACAAACACACTAGTCAGTTGGTTAGTTACTGGTTAACTAGCCGATTTACCATAAACCTTGGAACAATCGCGGTTGCGTCTCTCCTGATCGCGTGCAGGGCGTTTTGCTCCATTTGAACCAAACAATTAGCAGATATCTTCGACTGAACGGCCCCATCACATACTCGACATCTGGCCTAGACACAACATGGCCGGGCTGTTCCGCCTCGGACTTCCTAAAGGGAAAAGTGGCAGCTAGTTACACCATTACCAAAGAGTTTCAGGAGGGAGTATGGCTTGCAACGTAATGTACTCCCTCCTGATTCTAAACAGTGAGTGTATTACTCAGTTTGTCAGATAGAGAGAGTGAGATATTAATATTGAAGCAGTGTCTTCTAGATGCAAATAATATGAAGCAGCGGCTGCATCTGCTGCAGGAAAAAAAAAAAAAAAATCCGATTAGAGGAGATGACAAACTATGAGACTGTTATTGAATCATCGATGATATCTGAGACTGCAGCAATCATCTCTTCTGTTCTCACATTCATCTCAGCTTCAATAACTTCTCATGCTTCTGACACTGTGATTCTTGAGAACTTCATGTCAGCAAAGTTGCTGAACGAGGCAAGGAGCCAAAACGAGCAACCTGAAGTTACCAAAGGCGTGCGACAATTCCGGCTGAAAATCTTGATGAGATCATCGAACCATCAGACCCTCCAGCCATTGTTCTACGGCGTTTGGATGATCACCTCCTACCACGCACGAAGTCAAATACATTGCCAAAAGAATCCTTAAAGCACTCAAGGTACTGCATGCCGACGGTTTTGTACACACAGGTATTTAAAATCATTAACCCGTTCTTACGTTTTTGCACATGTAATGTGCACAGTATCTAACTCTAGATTTTCGTCAGACGTTAAGCCTGACAGTGTCCTCATTTAACTACCAGGCGGGAGATATTCGCTTCAGCGACGTTCAGTTGGCAGATTTGTGAAGCACTGTGCGGCTGATTCTGTATATGCAAAGGACGATGATGTAATCGGAGCGCCTATATGGCGCAGCCCTGAAGCCCATCTGCAGATAGGATGCGGTACACTGACTGATATATGGTCTTCTGGCTCTTTGGTCAGCGGAAGATTATTCGATATCTCGTGCAGTGAGAATTGAACTAATGCATTCATTCACCTCGTAGCTTTTGACTTTTGATGTACGGCGATAACTTTTGCATCTTTAAACCCGACGTTCCATTTGGATACGAAGACTATGAACTCAAAATTCCTATACACCAGTGTCAATTCTTTGGCCCGTTCCCGTTTCCTACCAATAAATTGCAGGTGTGCAGGCAGGCATTGAACATCCTGTCGTACATTCATCAATCTCTGCCACCGGAAAAGCAGAAACCCTTCGCGCGAATTTCAGCTAAAGAGGTGTCAAGAGAGAACAGGGATTTAATCCTCAAGATCATGAAACTAGATCCAAGAGATAGGCCTACGAGCTCTGTTAGAGGATGAATGGTTTGGCGTTAAATAAGCTGCCTTTGTTTATATACAGATCGCTCCAAATGGCTTGCTCAGTGTATCTAATCTGTTCCAAGGCCACTGGGCGTGACCGTTTTATTGAAACAAAGAAGTCTGACGGACCCTTAGTCAAAGACAAGAGAAGAGAAAATAGAAAAGAGAAAAGAGAAAGAAAGCAAATCCGGACAGCTCCAAGTTGATGGATTGTTAACCAGTTAGTCACCCCATTACCTCCTTGCTAATACTAAACTCGTGCCTACCTTTATCAGCCTATCTTGAATAGATTTCGAGCTCTTAGAGAGCATCCTGGGCAACTTTTTTTTTTGCAAATATAAGATCGATATGTTGCGGCTCTCCAAATCGTGAACTGCTCTCATGTGGTGCCTGAGTTCACGTCTTACAGACTTGAGAAAATTAATTCACTTCTCAGACATATATACCACCGATGCCAGTATCTCTTTTCCATCCAACTCTTAAGGCAGGCGTTCATCATGAGCTTCGCAACACCCGAAGGGCAGCAGTTGTCACCTGTAGTTGAATTTTGATTAGATCCTGCGTCTTCATCTATTGGAATCTCTCTGCGGACGGTTGTACGAAGGTAGAGTGAAGGCTTTTCCTGGATGAGGTGAAAGATAGTGCCGGCTATAAAGCCTGCTGATGCCCAACGAAGTGCAGCTACTGCTCTAGACCAATACGTTGGCTTTGAAGGCCCTGCTACTCCGCAATCTTGTTCCTGCTGTGCAAGTAGATGCTCAAGCTCGTCCAATGTTCTTGATTAGTATATCAATGATCCGCGTAAATCATCAAGATATTGTTGGCCTGGTTCGAGATTGTTCTGTATTGTGTTATCCAAAGTCGGAGGTCCGTCACAGTCCTGAACCCATCTAATAGCGCGTCTTATTTCATGCCAAAGCATCCCAACGGCGATGATCACTCTCACATCCTTACTTAATGGTTGCCAAAAGAGGGAATCGCTCCGTAATAATGACAGTGCATCCCGCTGGGACTTTGAAGTCACCAAATTGTGTACTTCAGCGCGAACGTTTCGTCATTTCCTTCAACCACAGGTTTCTGGTCGTCGATTCGTCGAATAATGGCATTCTGAAAATGAATTATTGCCGTGGGTCCAGAGCATCTACTCTGTTTCTCAACGTCTCACTTCTCTCCAATGTTGATAAGTATACAGCTAAGAACGATGTTCCAAGGGTGGTATTGACTTAACAGCTCTGTATAACAAGGAGCGGGTGCAACAAGGTCAATAGTATACCAATCTCACTTTTCAATTCAGTAGGTTTTCCAGAAAGTTTATATCTCTTGAGTTGAACACTTAATTTGCTTCTAAGCCTTTATAGCCCTGTGGATTTTGTGCGAACGTGGGTTTGTGGCCTGCCACAAAGGCTATAGCCTCCTTCAACGGGAGTTGAATCCGGTGTAAAGTTTCATCTATGTCTACTGAATATTTTCCGTCTGGAACTTCATTTTTGAGAACTTCATTTGTGAAGGACTGAAGAGTGATTCCAGTGTAGACTTGAGAATGATTGCGCAATGGCTTTCACTGAGTGCCTTTGGCTGCATCGTCACGGAAGACATACGGTTTTGTAATAACTTCAAACCCAGTAATCTCCACCCTCTTTCATCCTCTACCTGACTGATGAGGGGCTGAGCTTAATTCATGGAACAGATGGACAGCATCGGCTTCGCGTACCGCTTGACCAAAAACAAACTTGTCATCGAGGTCGTTCCGGAGAGGCACCTTCTGATGATTTAGGCCCTCAAGAACTCCCAAGTCATAGAGTGTCTCAGCACCAGTAATTAGCAAATATTTAAAGGCCTTGATGTGAAATAGCATACCAAGAAGGAAAATATAAGGGCTAAAAATGAGTGTGGGATCAAAGATGATATCCCGAAGTCGAAATGTGTTCCTGCAACAGAAGAGCCTTCATACTGGTTTTTCATTCCAACGTGCCCCTTAGTAAATTCAGTAGTGATTCAGTGGTCAGTCGTGGAGTGCCTCCAAGGGGATTGCGAATGAGGGTTAACTGAAGATGTCGGTAGCGGAGTTCCAGCAGAGCTGCCGGCCGGTTTCCCGTTATCCCAGCAAGATGACAGAACAAGATCGGCTGGATCAGCAGCCATCCAATAAGGAATAGCATGTCAGTAGTAGCCAACATCACGCGTGCGAACTCAGCAAGGTCGTCAACATACATGGTCCCCTTTGGACGTTTCTCCCAACTTAGTTTCTTCTCGTCAGCAACTAAGGCGATCACATCTTGAGCCTGCGCGATGACTAAATCATCAATGGGATGACCGGTGTCGGCCATGTACACTTGGAAATACTGCTTCCAAAGTGTTTCTAGGGAGCTAACAGTCCCAATACCTGGTATCCTTTGACCATCTTTCCATAGCGCTGGTCACAGGCCCAGCTGAGAAATCCTTTCAGCGACGGAGCCGAGAGAGCTTCAAAGGTGTATGATATATCTCGCTTGATATAGGCACAGTATCTAAGCCAATGTCAGCGGGACACACTAGAACCTGCCTGAAAAACTAACCGTTCCCAATAATCACAAGCACGATCAATTCCTTTTATGGTTGTCCTGTCCCAGCTAATAGCGGCGCTGCCGGAGACGTGAAACATCAACGTCTGCCTCCGCCTGGAGGTACTGCTCCGGCGGAGGCGGAGGTTGCTTGTGGGTTCGCAATGACTGCTCTGCTTCATCATCGGTGCCAAGGTCAGAGTCATCCAGGCAACCGTCAGAGTCGCTATCAACGAACACATTGCTCCCAGTGGTATCATCAGAATCAGAGGCTATATCTGAAACCTGCACAATAACGCTCATTGCAGCGTAGGTTTCTCCGAGGCTGCTTCAACGATCAAGGTCTTCAATGGCGCAGGCAGAAAGGCAGGAAACACTAGAAATAGAGTGGATTTGACAAGAATATCAAGCAAGAAAGACAAGCACAGAAACAGAAATTGCGCGTAAGGCAGAGCCAAAATGAAGGAATAACTGATTGATACTAGGCCGCCTCTCCTCAGGAGAGGCAGAGGATGGCTTCTGAGCCATTCTCCAGCCGAGAATGGGTAAGGGCGCATATTTTGGACCCAGGCGTGATTGCGATTATTCCGGAGAAGTTTGGTGAGTCGACCCCCTTGAAGGGTGATCACAGAATGGCTTGCAGGCCAACCTCATCAGTCGGCCAAGAACGATGGTAGGAGCCCACATTCTGGACGTCAGGGTGATTGCGATTGTTCGGTCTTGCTGAGGATGTTTGGGTGATGTGGGCTCACTCAAAATAGTGATTGGGTGGGTGCATGCATGTCAGTTAGTTACTCGGACCCGCGTGGCAGAAAAGGTTGGCAAGTTAAGAGCAAAAGGGCGGGCCGTGAACAGCGCCGAACTTGCCGTCCGATCGGTCAATAAACCAATATTATATATATATTTGCAATCCGTGATTTTCAGCTCTGAAATTTTTACTTTTTTTTAAATTTCAATAATAGGAATATAGTTTTGAGAAGAGCTCATGGGCCATACACAGATTCTTTTCTCCTTCTCATAATCGCTTTCATTTGAGCATATTTATTAAGAAATGAATTGCTCTATTTACTAACACCATCTCTTGTGCTTCTCCTCCTCCAGAGCCTTCTATCTCTCAAATATCCCTCTGCTGCGCCTCATCTGCTGCCTGCCTCTGACTGTCTTGTGCTCAAACCACCTCTATAAACCTCACTAGAGCTTTTGTGACTCTTGGTTCTGCGAAGAGGCAGGCCTCAGGAGCCTTCTCCGTACGCACAGGTCTGATGACCTTGGCCTCGTCTAGGGCTCTAGTTATACAGCATCTCCCATTGCCTCCGCCACTGCCTGCCTGCAGTTAAAAGAGCAGGTAAGCTACTACTTGATCTCCAGAGCACCCCCTACATCTTGGGGAATCCCGGGCACCTATTCAGTGCAGCTAGGCTCCTACAGGGGCAATGCCCTATCTTGAGCTGGTAGTAGAGCCTCGCCAGCCTCTTGGACCAAGCCTCCAGCCCCCAAGGGCTTGGTAGGCCTGGCCCCCCAACTAGGTTCTTGTCATATATATTGCATTAAGTAAACTTTTTATTAATCCAAGTTTGCTTTAATAGCTTCTATAGAAATTCTGAAGTTTTTTAATTTTTTTTTTTTTTTAATTTTTTTTTTTTTTTAAATTACCTCAGTATTTTATTTAAAATATAAAGTAATTAAGAAAAAATTCACTTATTAATTTTAAAATCTGAATATATAAAAATAAGATAAAATAAAAGATTAATTCTTGAACAAAAAGAAGAAAATGAAAAATTAAAGCAATTGTTAATTTTTTATATAACTTGATAAAATATTCTTCAAGATTTCTCAATGGATGTTATTTTTATAAATCAAATAAAAATTTTAAAAGCATCAAAAATATAAGATTTCTTGTAAATAACCATCAAAATAATAAAAAAATAAAAAAATAAAAAATAATAATAATTATTATTATTATATCTAACTTATTTAACTTATCTGACATTATTTTATAAAACAGCATATCTCTTATTCAAAAAGTACACTAGCCGGGTCGTAACCTGTGGGATCGCTGATCTCGTATTGGAGGGAAAAGGTAGCTAGTCACATAACACGGTACACGGAATCACGTGATTGGAGGGGGCCCGCTCGAGGCGAACGGTTGTTCACTGGCGCGCAAGAGCCTCGGCCTGATTGGTTGTGTCACGTGAACCTTTTCCTGACCCGCTGTACCTGATCGAGATAAACATCCATCTGCTGGAATTTGATCGTTGTACCCGCGACATCATCTTCACCTCCAGAAATCGTGTTTGCGGTCCACGACAACTTAGAGACCGCGGCCCTAAACCACTCTTTCAATATCTATTCCTTTTGTCTCTAAAAAAAATATTCGGTCCTCTGCTTTGGCTTCCCATCACACCTGTTCCAAGCTGACATTTTAGGAACCCCCCTGCCCATAGCTATATAAGTAGCAACCTCTGGAAGTGCAGCAAACCGGGAATCTGAGGAATAAATCCCAGGTAAACATAGTTTCGACCATGGCTTCTCTCGGAGAGGACCTGTTGGTCACTGTCAACAAGTTGCAGGACTTGGTATTCAACACTATTGGCAACGATTCCCTGGACCTGCCGCAGATTGTATGTGTCCCATATTGACTCCCCCCCCCCACCAAAGATATTATGGCATCAAATACCCAAATACCAGGGGAGCATTTTATTTTTCCATGCTGGCATTATTTCCATGTTCTAACTCCAATTTGATAGGTAGTCGTCGGTTCACAATCCTCTGGGAAGTCTTCAGTGCTTGAGAACATTGTCGGAAGAGATTTTTTGCCGCGGGGGAGTGGCATTGTTACAAGGCGACCGTTAATTCTTCAGCTCATTAACGTCCCCAGCGAACGGGATGACACTTCTGACCATACACCATCCAGCGCTGGTGGATTAAGGGAATGGGCGGAATTCCACCATCAACCTGGAAGGAAATACGATGACTTCGCCCTTGTCAAACAAGAAATTGAAAATGAAACGGCCAGGATAGCTGGGAATAACAAAGGAATCAATCGCCAGCCTATAAACCTCAAGATCTATTCATCACATGTCCTCAATTTAACTCTCGTGGATCTTCCGGGTTTGACCAAAGTACCCATCGGGGACCAGCCGTCAGACATCGAAAAGCAGACGCGCAATTTGATTTCTGAATATATTGCGAAGCCTAATAGCATTGTTTTGGCCGTCTCTCCTGCGAATGTCGACATTGTGAACTCTGAGGCCTTGAAACTCGCCCGCCACGTCGATCCAATGGGCCGAAGAACTATTGGAATTTTAACCAAATTAGACCTGATGGATCACGGCACAAATGCTATGGATATTCTTTCTGGAAGAGTGTATCCCCTGAAGCTAGGTTTTATCGGGGTGGTCAATCGATCCCAACAAGATATTCAGTCGGGTAAATCGTTGTCAGAAGCTTTGGCTGCTGAAGCAGATTTTTTCAGACACCATCCGGCATATCGAAATATTGCTACTCGTTGCGGGACTCAGTTCCTAGCAAAGAGCTTAAACACAACATTGATGTCGCATATTCGGGATAGGTTGCCAGATATCAAAGCACGGTTAAATACTTTGATGGGTCAAACCCAACAGGAATTGGCAAGCTACGGAAACAAACAATTCAGCGGCAAGGAACATCGCGGCTCCTTGATCCTTCAGCTCATGACCCGATTTGCGTCGTCGTTTATCTCTTCGATTGATGGAACCTCCTCTGAGATTTCTACGAAGGAGCTGTGCGGTGGTGCTAGAATCTATTATATTTTTAATTCCGTCTTTGGGAACTCTCTGGAGACTATTGACCCAACACATAATCTTTCGGCTCTTGATATCCGAACAGCTATCCGCAACTCCACCGGTCCTCGCCCTAGCCTTTTCGTCCCGGAAATGGCCTTTGATTTATTGGTTAAGCCTCAAATAAAGCTCCTTGAAATCCCCAGCCAACGTTGTGTCGAGCTCGTCTACGAAGAGCTGATCAAAATATGCCACACCTGTGGATCCACTGAGCTTTCCCGATTTCCTCGTCTGCAGGCTAAACTCATTGAAGTCGTCTCCGATCTCCTGAGAGAACGACTAGGCCCCTGCTCGGCATATGTTGAATCACTCATCTCCATCCAGCGTGCATATATCAATACTAATCACCCTAACTTTCTTGGTGCTGCTGCTGCCATGTCGTCTGTAATTCAGAACAAACAAGAACAAGAAAGAAAAGCCGCACTAACCGAGGAGCGACGGAAACGAGAACGGCGACGATTGAAAGAACTGGGGACCGTAAATGGAACCGCGACTCCTGAGGGCGAAGAAGAGCATGATGCGGAGGATAAGGTACAAGCTATACCCATCCGAGGGCAGAAAAGTCACAGAAGCAGATCTCCCCATGTTGGTCGCACTATAGAAAACGGCCATTCTGCACTTGCTGCCACAGTTAATGGACCTCAGTCTTCTTCACAAGGTTTTGGGACTCAATCAGCTGGAAGCGCAAGAGATTCATTCCTCAACTACTTCTTTGGCAAGGAGGGTACCGCACCCAATCAAGGACAGCTGCCACAAGTGACGTCCGGACAAGCCCGCCATGTTAGCCATTCCACAGAGCCAAGTTTCAGTCAAAGTTTCCGACGCAACGAAGTCAAATCCCCCGCTTTGTCGCAATACCCACAGGATAGCGAATACCCGGCGCCGTCAGAATATGGTGATACCGCATTCCCCGTAAGTCTATGAAACCCATCGAATTCAAATCAAATTCAAGAACACCAATAATAATAAATTAATCTGTCCTCCAGAATGATCACGTTGAACCCGCACTCACAGACCGCGAAGCTCTCGAAACGGAGCTAATCCGCAACCTAATTTCTTCCTACTTTAACATCGTCCGCGAAACCATCGCGGACCAAGTGCCCAAGGCTATCATGCATCTGCTTGTCAACCACAGCAAAGAAGTAGTCCAGAACCGGCTCGTTAGTGAACTGTACAAGGAAGACCTGTTTCCCGAACTCCTATACGAGGACGACGGGATCAAGGCGGAACGCGAGAAGTGTGAGAAGCTTCTGGGCACGTATAAGGAGGCGGCAAAGATTGTTGGGGAGGTATTGTAGGATTATTATCTTTTTTTTCATGGCTATTATTATCTGATTCATATATAACATGCGACCATGCTTCCTTTTGTCTTTTGTACCCTTTTTTTTTTTCTTTTCCGTTTTTTGGTTTTTCATTGCACCACCCACATCATTTTCAACATCTACGCGTATATCCTAATCTCCTTTTCCCTCATTATGATCCTTTTTGCTCAGCTGGTGGCAGGTATGCAAGGTGATCGGTTGACAGTAAGGCAAGCCCCCAGGTGGTCGACGCAACGCTTGATGAAGCCAACACAACATCATTATTCCATCATCACCATGAGACACATTTAGAGCGACGCTGGTGCTTCTAGGTTTAGTTGGTATAGCAAGTGACAGTGGGCTTTACAACAAAGACAGAATTTAAAGACAAGAAAAGAATAGATCACGATTGGAAGTAAGAAGCGACGCAAGACGAGGCAAGGATGGGTTGGATTTGTTTACGTTAGATTTTTCCCTTTTTTTTGTTTGTTTTTCACTTTTGTCCTGTGATTTCTCGTATGTATGTAAATAAATCTGGTGTTGAATGAATGAAAGGGGAAGGGAAGTTTTGGTCGGGACCTTCATTTCCTTAAAATTAGCGTCTCTCTTTTGCTGACAACAAATGAGCCAGCTCCATAAAACTGTAACAGCATGAAATTCGAACCGTAGGAATCGAAGCAAACCCTTTTCCATCTGGTATCCAGCTGTTAGGTAGAAGTTAGAAAGAGTTTTTGACTCTACTGACGTCTATACATTAGACTCTATATATGCGTCTCACTTGTGAAACGTATATAACTATATGTAAGGGAACTCCATGACTAAGAACATAATAAACCTCCTTTTTTGGGGTCAAAAAGCATTCCAAAGAATTTCATGAACGTATTATCCGCCCGGAGGGGGGATCTCCTCGAAACAAATGCCAAAAAGCTTGTTTATCCGGAAGAAAACGTATCGCCCAAATGATCCAAGAAACCTCTCAAGGAAGGCAAACACCAAAAAGTTACAAATGAAATGTATTCGTTACTCTCTTTTCACTCTCGCCTGGGCCTCCCTTCTCAATCTCGCTCCCTCATAACCGTACAATCCCCCTCCAACGAATACCAGCACAGCCCCCATCAACACCCCGCCCACTAAGACGTTCCCAAACAGATACACTGAGAGAATCAACGAGATTAATTTCCGAATATTCAGTACAACAGTCACTGTTAGAGATGATGACTTTGCCGATAATGAATGCACCCCACGGATACAGATGTACTGCGTTAGCCCGTTAATGATTAGGTATAGGATCTTTATGGGTGTTTTTGAAAGGACCTGAATGAGAAGCGAATGTGCGGGGAGATGGGAAATTGATGAGTTTAGAAAGCTATAGACAGAGGAGAAGCAGGTAGTTGTAGCTGTTGTTGTACTAGAGGACAGTTGTCCTAAAGCTCTGGGGGTGGTGGTGTTTGAGATGACGGGTGGTGTGGAGAGTAGAGACAAAACGGACGGAGAGGCAAAGAGTTGCTTCAATTGAGTGAGAAGTTTTGAATAGGAAGGGATGAAGAATGGCAGGGAAAGAGCATGCGCATAGAAGAGGGCTTCACGCCAGTGGCTGCGACCATGAGATTCATACAAGTGGTCTGCGTAAACGCCTTGGAACGCCCCGAGGACCATAGCAACTCCAAGGATGCTAAACGCGACTAACGACGTGAAAAAAGACGGCAGATCTTTCTCTCCTGCGCTGAACCCGATATCCATGGATTTTCCTTTGGCACTGGCATCGGCCAGAGCAGCTCCCACGACGCCAGCGGTAAGAAGGAGCACTGCCAGGACCTGAGTCCGTGTGTAGCTCTTGGAACTATATATGTGACCAATGATAATGGAGGCCACGGGACCACCACTACGAATAATGATGTGAAGTGGTACGGAGATTTTGAAGGCAAAGGCGATGTTGTTGAGGACGTTTACTGTGAGGAAGAATGAGGTGTATATCATCCATGACTTTAAGGGAATTGCCCTGGGTGCGAGGAAAAACGCCCGTGGGCCCGCGGAGAATGAGAGGAGATGAGGAAGGGTGAAGAGGGAGGTGAAGGTGAATTGCGTTAACGTAATGAGGGCACCTAAGATGAGCGAAGTGTAGCATTAGATAATTTTCCATACATATATTTCACAAGGAGGTAATATAATCAATCCCATACCAAAATCCGGATTGTCACTTCATCAGGAGCCGTATTCGTTTAGTATATCAACCCAGAGCATAGATATCACACCTCATTATCATGAAGGGACTCACTTGATAATAGCTTCCAAAGCGAATACCTGTACCAAATACCTCGTTAGCATCGCTCACAGCAAACAAAAAGAAGGGGAACAGATATATTCACAACTAACATTCGAACAGCATCCACCAAATATCAACGCCACCACCATGCCAATATTCGCCCATGAAGGCAATGTCGCTTGAACGGTTGCAGCCGCAACGCCATCGCTCCGATCACTCTTGTCCTGTTCCACAGTTTCGCCCCTTATGACCTTCCGTGCCTCATCTCCAGAATCCGTTGGAGTGAATGAGCCATTGGTTAAATCCAAAGTCCCAGCATTAACCCCCCACCGTTGCGGTTTCAGCGGATCTTTCAGCGGATCGCCCATTGCTTTTATTAACTCCTTTGCGCAGGCAACGGATTGTCTTGTTTAACCTCAGGGAAAATGCATCAATCTCCCTCCCGTAACGAAGGCAGAGTGACGTGTAGAGCAGACTGTGGTAATGGATGATGGCAAATGAAACTCTCACCTTTCACACCAGGCCTATTCCACGACGCTTATATATGGGCCAACCTCAATTGAGCAATTGTTAGCTCAGTTTTGGATGTATTCTTTTGTGTGTTGGAGCTTGAAGGAATGTTGAATGGATTGGGAGGTGAAGTTTATTATTTAGGCTATTTTTGGCGCTAGTTCCGCGAGCTTAGTTGAACCTCAGTATGCGGTTAATTTTGCTTTAAGCAAAAACCTGCCAACAAAAAGGTTAATAATGTCCAAGACAAAAACCAACCATCGCAAAACCGATATGTAATAATTAATTATTTATATAGCCATTTTTAAGGAGAAATACATTTTATCAATACATGTGCTGGTGGTTGGGGTAATACCAAAAGCCATCAATTTCTCCCTGCTCGAGGGTCAATTGAATTATAGACTGTATCTTATAACCATATTTAGAACCCCATATTCACGCTTATAATTCACAAAGATCCTATATATACCCCTTTGCTTTATTCGAATGTGAATGACTGCATATCCGGAAAGGAAGAAAAGGAAAGAAAAGAAAACTAGAAAGGAACAACCCTCCTTTGGAAGGCAATTTCCAACGCCATAACAAAAAGAAAAAAAGGTATAAGAAACAAGAAAACTAAACCTGGTCAATCATCTTCAATGTCATCATCACTGAGGATCAGCTTCTCAACCTCCTCCTCAACAGGAAGGAGAAGCTTGGGGCCAAACGAGTTGCTCAAAGATAGCTGTCCCAGCTTGACCCCCCGCTTCCATTTCTGCGGTGAAGCGACAGTTCTATCAGCAGTTGCACTCCAAAGTTCAATGGCGGAACATCCTCCAAAGGTAGAGTCTTCAAAATCGACATCCCCAGGCTCTTCATCACTCTGTCCGCCGCCTCCACGGAACTGTGTAATTTTTTCCAACTCCTGGACTTCGGCAGGGTTTCGAGATATGACGCTCAAATACGGCAAGCGTTCAAGAAGGACTTCTTCCCGAGAGATCATGGCTCTGGTCGCCGCGGATGAGGATGCATCGCTGGAGGACTCATGATTGTTGTCGTGGATAGAAAAACCAGACATCGAACTGCGATTCTTCCACGACTCTACACCCTCCAGTCGTTGGATGGTAGTTCTAGAAGAAATATCCATGGTAGGATCTGTGAGACGATGTAGCCACAAATCCAACAACCCGTCCATCTCTTCAGTTTGCCTCCAAAGCCGCATCGACGTCGGGAAAAACATCTTGTAAGCATCGCCCGTCCGACAGCCGGCAGTAGCCTGTCTTCTGACAGGATATGGTAATGAAAATAGCAATCCCCGCACAGCAACTTGGAAACTAATTTCATCCTGACGAAGCATGTCGATAGTGGTACCGTATCCTTGGTAGGACAAGCGGGCTGAGCCGATTCCGCCTCGATATTTCTGCAGGTTGTGAAATAGGCCACCGGGCGCCAAAATATCCGTGTCTGACAGGATCGAAATGCAGTTTTCGAAATACTCAGTAAACAACGGGCCGGTGCAAGAGAGTACATAATTCTCATGCAACGCGGCAATGAACGTTTCCAGGTCTGTCCCTGTCTCATTGATCAAATCATCGATCGAAACCTCTGATACTTTCGGGCGTGCATGATGTTGAAGATGTTGTGGAGGCTGAGGAGGTTTAGCATTGAAACCCAGGGTTACCGTAGGATCTTCACGTTTATTGTACACCACTCTACCAACTGCGTGGAAGATACCGAGACTAGCTTCCCTTTGAGTAACTATTTCTAGCGACTCTTTCTCCATAGAGGTTAGGGGCACACGACCTTTGCCAGATTTTTTCATCCGGCCAGCGACAGTCCCGCTCCACCCTCCGTTTTCATCACCACGAAGACATATGAACTCCAATCCAGATATAGCACTCCTCACATCTCCCATTTCTGCAAAAGCCTTCAAAATTACGGGTCCAGGAATTCGCTTTCTCTTGGATCGACGCGCTTCCTTTTTCAGGACCAAGTCGAGCGCTTTGGTCATAAAAGTAGGTGCTATCTTGTTAAAGTCAATGATGCTAGTGCCGGGATGGTTTGAAAGTTCGGGGCCCAATAATCTATGGACAGTAAAACTATCAGCTGATATGCCTCCGGAGCCTAACATGGTTTCTGACACAATCATAATTAAGGGTGGCCCGGTTAAAGGAGAATTCCACCCTAATCGGTTGCCAATCGACTGTGAAGGAACCGCCATGGCCAAATACCGTTGTATTGCAAGTCTGAACGTCCGAAGACCTGAAGAAGTTTGGCTCAACGAGCTTGGAAACTCCTCAATAAGAATCACACGTCTTGTTTCTTTTATATTGAAGGAATGTGTTTGCCCATTCGTCATGGGCTCTTGTGCTTTATTTTGCCCGCCGGCGGACAGAGTAAGACTTCCAAACTTATCTCCTCGCCCGAGAAAGTCCTCGAACTGAGCGCCCATGGATGCATATTGTTGAGATAAAAGCTCGGATCCCAATGGGTTCTTCCACTCTAGGATTTCGAATCCAATGGCCTTAGATAGTAGCGATATCGTAGTTGACTTCCCGCTGCCAGCTGGGCCCCTGAGAACAAGAACTCTCTACCCCAATCAGCATAATTGAGAAGAAGCCAGTTGCAGTATTTGGTGTCAGAAAGACAAAAAGGGGGAGGGGGCGCGGGCGGGATGGGGGAAGTAGCACTCAACTCGTTTGCTCCTCCCAGTAAACGCATCCATTAACCACTTCTGAACTTCCCCGACCTTCCTCTTATTAACCACCAGCTCATCAAGATTAACTGGCGCATATTCTTCCGCCCAAGGCCGTATTCCTCGCGGAGGCAACGTATCAGATGACCGTAATTCTCGAGTCCGCCCAGGTTCCTGACCGCCAATGTTTCCAGGACCCAGCCCAGCAGGCAAGCTCTCAGGCGACAGTAAAAACATCTTTGCAGGTCTCTTCAGGGATTTCGTCGCAGCTCCCTGATGCTCACTCTTTATTCCCTTTTCTTTCCTCCGATCTAGCTGAGAGCTCGTATTATTAAACTCTTGGGCCTGCACCGAATTCCCGCCACCATATCCACCACCAAGAATTTGGCTAGTAAATATTTCCTCATACGAATCATCTCCAATAAAGTCGTCCTTGATCTCCTCCTCCTCCGCTTCTTCTTCTTCTTCTTCTTCAATCTCATCCACCATATCCATTTCCTCTTTAAAACTCTTTCTCACCTCGACGTTCGGATAATCCTTCTCCAGCTTCCTACTCCATCTCTCCTCATCCGTCGCCCTCGCAAAGAACGAATGCAACGATTTCGAGGGCGACTCTGACTGCCTATTAACTACCTTCCTCCTTCTCTTCTTCTCAGGAGGTGAGCCGGGTGTCATCTGCATTGAGCGTGTCTGAGTCCGTCGTCGTTGCTGGGGAGAACATGGCAGCTGCGTCTGTGTTTGTTTCTGTCTTGGCTTTTGAGACGGCCGTGTTGGAAGAATAGTTGTACGCGACGGAGCCATAACGGTCGCTGTAGTTGTAGCCATAGGCACCCTTGTCGTCAATGGAATTACAGCAACACCATTCAATATGGGTGTATTCTTCCTCTTTGTCCCGCGGGGTGGTTCTCTTTCCGAGCTCGTGGGATTCTTTGACTCCACATATCCCTTCTCATCCGCACCTTCGGTTTCGCTTTCCGTTTTCCTAGTCGCTTCAGTCTCATTGCTATCCCCCTCATCCTCTGACGAGAGGACTACGAGTCTCCGCTTCCGCTTTGCGGCTCGACGGGTGGACATGGTGCCCGCGAGCGACTGTGATGATGGGCTCGGTGCCAATTGGACCCTAGGGTCATGGTTAATAATTGGGGGGTGGGGTTATTCCCATAGTAAATTAAACTATTTATGTAACTTTTAATTGGCGGTGTATATGCGTCTTTAAGGTGGCATTAATGGGTTGTTTGAAGTCGAATTGGAAGCCGTTCCTTTGGTTGTGATCTTCAGGAACATGAAGGCATGACCTGGGGTAACGTGACGTTGGCGCTTTGTTGTAAGTATCACTAACAGTACATATCTATTGGAGCAAACAATAACAAGCACCACTCGAAAGAATATGAATCAAAGTACCAATCCAGCACCGAGAATAAATAAAATATGTTGCGGTGGGGCAGGGGAAGGGTACATATCTATCCACAGGTTAAAAGACAAAAGAAAAAAATCCTTGTATATTAATATAATATAGATGTCCGAAAATGCAGAGCAAAATCCCGCTTCCCTCAAGCAAGAGTATAGTAAGCGAGGAGAAAAAAATGGGCCGGGGAGAAAACGAGAACCATTTCAAATACAAAGAAATCTCTGTCCAAAACTCCATCAAATCCGAAATCCGAAACTCTCAACTCAATTACCACCAAAAACATCGTAATAATAATCATCATCCAATCCTTCCCGGCTCGGAATATCCGGCGAGTCCCCAACAAACGTCGCATCATCAAACCTAACATTTAACAATCGAATCTTCAAACCGTAATTACTGACCAGATTGATCAGCTTATTCGTCTCTGCAGTGATGGGCTGCTGATTCAAGAGCATCAGTAACCCATCCAGCCATTCAGATGCGATGCTGTGAGATTGTGGGTGCAATGTTAGTAGGACAGCTTCTTTCTGTGTGCTCTTGCTGTTGCTGTTGTTGCGCTTGTGTGGGTGTTTGAGGGTGCTGTCGTTAGATATAGAGCCAGGTGGTCCGCTAACGTAACCATGGATGGTGATTTTGGTTGAGGAGGATGAATGTGGGAGTGTTTTTATTGTGGAGCCTGAGGATGCGTCTGAAGAAGCAGAGACGTTGGAGACAACAGATGAGACAATGTTAAGGTCGACTGAGTGGCAGGTATTGTTAGCATTGATAGACCGCTATGAAGGTTTAAGGTACAGACTGCTTACCTTTATCCGTCAGTGATTCGAGATCGGGGGCATGTTTGCCCATTGATTCAAAATCGGCATAATGGAGATATCGTCGGTTATGCGACAGCTGCACAAAGCGATATATAGTCATCGAGCCGACCGCACGTTTCATATCTTGTTTTACATTATTCACTCCACTGTCCGCTGTACCCAAGGTATATTCCGTCGGGAACCAAGCACCTTGTAACAAACAACGGATGCGTTGCTCTTTCACAAATTGCAGCGCTTCATGGTGGAGCTCATCGCGCACCTGAAGTAAATGTTGACCCCATGCATCTTCATAAGTGAGTTCGAGCAGCTCCATCTGTAGTTCTCTTAGACGCTGATATTCAAACTCTGCCATCTCTTCTTCGACATCATGCACATCCTTTGTGCGCGTGGCTCCACCGACAACGGACTCTATAAGAATGCGAACTAGCTCCACAATCTTCGAGAAGTCCTCGAGCTCCGCACCTGTAGCTTTCCACAGTCGAAAAAACGCATGCAATCCCGCGACGTGCAGTCTAGGCCAATGGAGAAGCAGAGGTTTAAATAACTTGTCGAAGTTCGATCTTGACTCGAGCACAAGATAGCTCTTGACGTCATCCAGATCTGACTTTTCAACTTCAAAATGCTCGTAAAGAACCGCAGTAACAGCCAGAGAAGCTTTCGCAATTGGGCAACGCTGAGGCGGCGGTTTTGCGGACTGCTCCAACAGCATTTTCTGAAACTCATCCTGGTGTTTCCTCACGTAGTCAGCCAAATCCATCATGCCCAGAAACCCCATTTCTTCAAACTCCCACTGGGGGGTTTCAGTTTCAAACCCAAGCCGTCTCCACTTCTCTGGATTATGCCTTCGAGACCGCCGTGTATCTCCCCCTTTCTCCGAAGGATCCATCTCCATCTCCTTCTCCTTGTCGTTTTCCTTTTCTTTCTCTTTCTCATTCTCCTTCTCAGTTCTACTAGCAAGATGAATCCCCTTCAGCGCCCAACGATGCTCCGGCTTCTCTAACTCAACATGAACATCCTTCCACTTTCGCAAGAGCACTTTAGTCAATGATTGGAATTCGAGTAGCGGATGGGCCAAATCCTGAAGCGCCGTTCCCTCCATAAGCATATATACAGATCGGATAACACCCAGATCCTGTAAGCGCTTAATAAACTTGGGCCATTCCGCTTCCCCCTCGTTAACAATCGAGTCTCTCATCAACGAATTAATCAATTGTAGCGCATTGGCGCACAACGCATGGTCCGCAGACGATAATCTGCTCACGAGCATCTCAAGGAAATGAGGATATATGGCAATTGCAGGTTTCAGGGCTTGGAACCCAAAGACGTTCGGCTGTGATGAGCGGTGTGAACTTGTATGAGGGTGTGAAACGATGGATACTAAGATCGACATCGCGCCACGGAGGATATTCACGAGCGGATGTGTAACGATGAGTTCAACAACCTTCATGCCTCAAAAGAGGGGGAGCAACACTATCGTAATTAGAAATGTGTAATACACCAGGGTGAACGGTAAAATTTACAAAAACAAAAAATAAAAATAAAATAAAATAAAATACAATAAATAGATAAAAGAACCAAAGACTCACCCTCATAACCAAATCCTGCTCCACGCATTCCCACCCCTTATCAACTTCCAACAGGCGCGAAAACGACGTCAAACTGTACGCCAGTGTGTTCCCCGTCGCTGTCAGTGCCAGGTATTTCAGTTTCAATACCCCCCCCTCAGAAATGAACACATCCGCAAACGACGGGTCACCGATGTTCGATTGCAGTTTGAATACCGCCATTTTGCGCACGGCATCCTCATCGCTCCCCAACCTTTCGACGAGTTCGGAGACGTTGACGCCCTCCATGGCCTTTGTATCGGTGTATATGTGTATTTGAACGTTCAATTGGTGGTCGTTGCGGGTCTTAGCGGCTGAATGAGCGGCGTTGATGGTAAAATGAGCGGGCGGGAGACAAGGGACAGATGGAGATATGAATGGTGCTGAAGGAGTAAATGAGCAATTGTTTCCACGTCAATGGGTTTGTTTCTCTGTAGTGAGGATGTTTCAGAAGACTGGCAATAGTTTTGCCTGTCAAATTTGCGTCCTGATCTATTGAACTCGCATCAAACCGAGACTGTCCTTCCACCGGCTGAATTAAGATGTTGAACAACTACGGTAGTTAACTTTTCGCACCGAGAAGTATGGATTGAAACAATCACAAATTGAAGAAATGAAGGACAATAATGTAAATTGATTGCAAAATGAATAAATAAATAAATAATTCTATCAGAACCCCCACGAGAGCAATCAGTTCCTTGTGATTGTAGATAATAATACTTTGACTAGTTGGTTAAGATGTTGACGTTAGAGGCTACGGCCTAGTTTGGTCACGTGACCCTATCAGTAGCAATGCAACTCAAGACTTCCTACTGTTTGATGCTGTCTCTTCCGCACCAAAAATAGGGGGTGAACGAGAATATGTATGGAGAAGATACAACTGAATTATATGAAAAGTATCTGGTGTGACGCCTTAATAAGATTGATTGTTATTCTCATTACTAAGAAGATGCTTAACAATAACAAGTTAATTAAAACATACTTTTCCCCATATTTGGTTGGCTTTTTTTTTTTTTTTTTTTAATCTGTATAGTTATATATAAAGCCCTGGTTTAAAGGAGACCCAATGTTACCTAAACAGTACCGCCATTTAAACGCAACTCCATAAAATAAGGAAATGAATAAGTTGAAGTGGCAAATGGGTAGATAGAAAAAGATTCCCTCCACACAAATCCCAAAAAGAGAAGAGAAAATTAAAAAGAAAAGCCAGGGTGGAAGGCGGGGGAGAAAAGATTAAGAAAGAGTCCCGCCCATTTCATAAGATCATATCCATGGATGGATGTCTATTCACAGGAGACAAGTAATGCTAAATCGTATATATACAATCAGCTCCACTGTTGCACATTTGTAGTAAAAAGAAAATAAAGGGAAAAGGGATACAATTAACCAGCCAAGTCCATGGGGGTGTATGGCTATAAGACGATAAAGAGGAAACACAGGTGAATGCGTGTGCATAGGCAGTGTACAATGTGAAAGTTAAACACGTCTGTAGAAGCGGGAGGTATAGCCGTACCGTACAAGTATGGCAAGTAGAAAAGGGGAACGTGGAGGGGATTCGAGGTAAAAATAGGCATGGGTGGGTGGGTGGAGTGTAAATTTGAAGATTGGGGGAGGAGAAGATGGAGAGGTGCTTTGAGGCCATTCAACAGACCATCAGGCGTCATTTTCATAGTCAACAGTTGCTGGCTCGAAGGGTTAGTATTTAGCTCCCCCAGCCGACATTCCAAATAACATGCGCGATATCCTTCGCGGTATTAACAGTGTCGACAACCTTGCCGATAAACCCAAATTTCATATGCTCCCCTTCCCCCTCATCATTGCGTGAGGTGGCGTCGTCAATATCATACAAGTCGTCGTAATCGAATGAGAAAAACCGGTCCGAAGATGAGAGATATGATTCTCGATTGTTATTATGATCGATGTGATTGTGATAATCATTACTATTTTGCTGTTGATGTTTGCTGGAGTCGCTGCTGAACCACAACCCATTATAAGCGGGTAATTCATCTTCAACCATTTTCCGGCCCGGTAAATGCCACTTCACATCCATGTCGGACGTAACAGTGGCATCATCATCATCACCCTCATCATCACGGTCGTCAAGAAGGAAATTCTCATGAACTTGTTGCCGTTGTTGATGCTTCGGAGGACGGAGGGTTTCCGTTGAAGCAGAGTGGGAAAGGCGCGGGACTGGTAAAGGCCACCATGAATATGGAGATGACCTAACAGGTGCTTGGACATCAGGCTCTGGGGTATCCCTACGGTATTTAAGAGTGGTTGGCGGTAATGGGGCGATAGTTTTGCTATCGCTGCTGAAGCTGCTTCGTGGGGTACTTTGATTGCTTAGTCGCGGTCGTGGTGGCATTTCCCGCATCATAAGCACTCCATCTTCAGATAGCATGTCATCGTCGACAATCGTGCTATAGTCCATATCATCATAATAATCGTCCTTCCCTTCCACTGCGATGCATTGCGAAACTTCATTGTTGAAGCTGATATGGCGTCGGTCGCTGGGAGTGTCGGTACCAGAAGACATGGTCGATCTACTGGAATTTTCAAAATATGTCTGGGGAAGAACATAGTCAGAGGCAGACCTTCCTAGACCGGGACGGCCCCTTGAAGAGTCTGCTTCTCGGGCTTTCAAAATTGCACCCGCATGACTGAGGAGTGTTCGGGTCGTAATGGAGCGTTGGAGGATGGCCTGAGAGGCCGTTCTCTTCTTTAGAATGGGCTTTTTATGAAGGAAGGAGCCAGAAGTGGAAAGGCGAGTAGGAGGTGGAGAGGAAACCGATGGGGATAGTTTGGAAGAGGTCTGCAATGGGCCATAAAGCCAAGTAACATCGCAATCTTTGAGCCTGTAGTCAAATAATTAGCTTAAATTCCATACAGACATATTATTGAATGGTATAAAGTAGTTGATGACATACCAATTCAGAGACTCCGGAGTGACAGTTCCAAGTCGATGCTTTGCCTTTGCCCAAGTCCTCCAGGCTGCGTTCTCTAACCTCATGCCGTTGTTATATTCATCCCGTTTGGAAACGATATACCTCCAAGAGCTCCAAATATCTTCCTCTTTCCAATCATGCGAGAGGTAGTCAACATGTCTCGTAGGCTCATCCTTTATAGAAGCATCATCCCCGACAACCAGAGGCATTACGGAATCGCATCTCGATTGATCCGTCGTGGGAGAGTTGGGAGAGAAAAACGCAGAGTCGACCGACGCCTTATCATCTTCTTCACCGCAAGAGGCTGCGTCATATGAAGGGAATACTATCTCATCGTCCTCTGGCTCTTCAGGTGTGGGAGGTAGGGTGATCGATGGAGGGCTGGAATGCAAGAAGACCGACGAGAAGATGGGAGAAGACTGTCCCGTTGATGAGGGTGAGGATATTGAACTGGTGTGAACTGGGCAGCATTCGACTTCAGGGGATTTCCGATATTGGCATTGGGATTTTAGGAAGGATGGATTATTTCGCTTTCGTCGATTGGGCTCTGGAGATGACAGAACATCCCTCTCTGGTAAAGCGGGTAGCAAAGTGGTCATGGTCTGAGCAGCATTAGACTCCGCCAATGCCGTAGAAGGGATCGATGCCTTGGAGTTGTCGAAGCTTCCGCTGTGATACCGTTGATGCTTGGGGGTTATGATACTTAAGAGGTAGAGGATATGAGGCGATCAAAAGCAGTCAACTGGATGCAGTGGAACTGCCAGAAAACCAGTCGTAGATGCCAAGTGGTTCGTATTTGGAAACAGTGACACTTATATTCGAAAGAACAGACGTAGTTAAGAGGGAATAATTGGGAGGAAATCCTGAACAGGCAAAAGTATGGAATCGGGAGCGTTTTTGGTGAGAGTAAGCGAAAAGCATGAAAAGACCTCAGCCGGCTAATTAGATCATCCACAACTCAACCTTGGGAGAACCACAGTCAATTGGAGTAAACGACTATTGATGAGTAAACAGCGGGAACTGCGATCTGTTGCTAACTATAATGTTAACCAGCAGAACAGATGATGCTGTGTATTAATTGATGCGTCGTCTTTGGATCTGAACCCGATGTTTGAATTTGGTGGTCAATGGACGCGGAAGTGGTGGAGAGCAGGAACCACAGAAAGGGGAAGTATATATATATATTTAGCTATAGTTTACTTTATGTGCAGTTAGAATAAATAATATCGCTCGACATGACGAAGTGTAAGAAATATGGCGTAACTTAATGGGACAGAGCTCGTGAAAGAAGCGAGAGGAAGTATTTATCTAACTTATAGTTAGTTAAACTAAAAGGTGCATTTTCCTCTCGGTTTTCTTCCTCACAGGCCTGGACTTCTCCGCAATCGACTAAAAAATTGATATTGAGTCAGGTTTTCTATTATTTTTGTATTTAATTTTTTTTTTTTATCTTAACGCCACCCAAAATGATTCACGGCTCCCGACTGATTCTCGCTATCCACTCTCTACCTATGGACGGCTACTCTTACTCTGTACTCTGACCTGGTACATAGCAGGATTTCGCCTTCATTCTTCGTGTTAATGTCTACCACTTATCAAGAATCTCTCGATACATGCGATGTACATACATACACACATGGAACTATGTAACTCTGTAACTATGTTTTGATTCATCAACCACCATTCGCATAATAAATCATGGGATATCAACGTTGTCTCTTCTTTGTGCTACTAAATAAGTTTAGTCTTTTCAAGCTCTCCACGAGAAGTAAGTATATGTATCTTACATTTTCTTACCATCAAATTTATATCTATTCTTACCCCAGTATTTGGCTTCTCCCCCTCCTCCTCATCATCATCATTAATCTCTAAACACAACCACATTGCCCAGAACAACATGATTAAATGGAGACGAAAGGGATTCCCCACAATCAAGGCATTCGAGGCAGAGTTCATTTAATCAATCCCTGTCATACGGAAACAAGCCATCCAATACACCCTAGATATCAAGGCAGATTGGAGTAAATACCACTACTGTGCGTATCCTGTACTACGGGATGCATTCCTGTAGATAGAGAACGAGACAATGTAGATAAATAACAAGAAAGCGAATCACACAAATAATAGAAACCAGGACAGTATATTTATGTCGAGATAATCTCGGCGCTACAATTGTTTCCCTTGATATCGTGTCAAAAAAGTGAGGGCAACCAATCCCTGCTTCGCCAATAATAATCAGCCATTATCGCATCGTGCTGCACCTTGATATCATCACTCCCCATAGTTACTCAGCGTGCCAGAAAATCGACCTACAGGGCCTCCTTTGTCCTCCCTAGCATGATGCCGATGATGTTCATCAAGGCGGACAAGGACAAAAGTGGTTAGGCATGCTAGGTCCATCAATTTCCTTGTCTTCGTTGTGACGGCAACTTGAGCGTCGCCTAGAAAGTTTAATATTTGAATCTCACTCCAAAAGCCAGCTTCTGGTCGAATCAGCAACCCCACGAGTCAAAGCGGCCAACTCGACCGTTGTTGTAAAATCCGATTAACTCGAGGTTCCAGACCAGAAGAGTTTGGTTAACCTACCAGGACAGCCTCCCTCGTCTTCAAACGACCCCCCTTTGAATTTTTAACCTGTCGTTCGATGAGGCTTTCTGTGCCCCTAGGTGGCTTATTTTTCCCCTCAAATGGCGGAATAAACCCGGCTCAGAACAGGTTTTTCTTTCGAGACAGCCTTGAAGAGCTTGCTGGAGAACTTCAGCTTCCCCCTCATTCAGCTTGAACTTTGCAAGAACAATTTTGGGCCTAGAATAACTGGTCTGAGAAAGCATGAATGGGCTTCCAAGATCAGTGCATCACGGAACAACGTGGAAAGGTTTAAACGTGGTTGCTGGGTGGCAGTGAATGACGGGTCAGAGAACTGAGGAGGGGAGGACTCGCACGCAATATTCGATAACAATGTGTTCTAAGAATACGGCCTGTCCCTTGGCCGGATTATCCCCGAGTACGCGGATTATGAATAGAGCAAATTAATCCTGGGAGAGGCGAAGAACAAATACGCCCGCGTGGCTTAGTGGTAAAGCGTATCACTAGTAATGATAAGATCCTCAGTTCGATTCTGAGTGTGGGCAACCTGAAGTATTTTTACCTCTTTGCTTCTTCTTTTATTTTCTCCTTTCTATTTCCAATGTTTTGTCTCATTATTTATCCCTGCCCAGATTGCTGGTTAGAATCAATAAACGATTTCCTATTTCCTATGTGTTTTACAAAGTGTGGAAAAGGTGGTTAACTAGGGATTTGGCAATGATCCCTGAATTGAGTAACAAAAAAATATGTCCAATCCCGCATTGTTATTATTTTCCGCCCCCCTCTAGCTGATTCTTTCACTGGCTGATGGTTGCAACTATCTATTCGGTAATTACTCCGACCCCTGTCTTCAAAGTTCCAGACCGGCGACTGAGGTCAGCGAGCTGCACTTCTTTGACCCACTTCCATCTAGAACATGGCTTCCCCAAGTGTGCCCTTCATAAGGGTCGAAGGATTAGAGAAGATGGGTTTCAAAATAAACTCCATGGAAATTCCGGAATTTTCCTCTTGTTGTGTCGCATTTGTCCTGCGAACTTAGCTGCCAGAAATTCCTAAACCCCTGGGGACAAGGACTTAATTGACTTTTTGAAAGATTTCTTTCTTTTCTTTCTTTTATTTTTTTTTTAAATTTTTTTTTTTTTTAATTTTTTTTTCTATTTTTTTTGTCATTGAATGGCTCACCGATCTTCAGGTACAGTCCATACATGGGTGTAGCTCTTTGTTTAAAGAGTTCTCGCATATCTCCTTGCCCAACTTTTGAAGTCTTGCATCACTCTCTTTATTTGAGAGTTGGATCCCAAAGAGATAAATACATAAGCTACCATTGCAAATCGTGCCCATAGCAAATCGTGCCCACAGCCTTCGCGCCCACAAGTCACTTTCTGTTTTCATCGATTATTCATTCTCTTTAACTCCATTTTATGATGTACCCGCCAAGGCTCTGGACTGAAGAATGGTCAAAGCGAACGCACAACCCTACCATGGCAGTCGCTAATCGCGCCAATTGTGGGCTGGGGCCGCAGTGGCGTGGAATTTCTCATCCCATTCTATTACCTTTCTCAGGAGGTGTGTCAGGTACTAGGAAAAAGAGAGCGTTATTTAATTATGACAGATGCCATTTCCATGTGGGAGATGACGTTTGTGGTACCAGGTGTATCTATCTGTGGGACAGGAGTAGGCGAACGTCAAAAACGGGAGTGAGAACAGGGACATTCCGGGAACATGGGGCGGCTACCGTAGTAATTTTTATATTCAGATAACTACCTTGGAGCGAAAATGCGGGGAACACCGGAATCATTCTTCTCAAGATCGTGCAACGACTCTAGAGTTATCAGTGGGAAAGAGGATGGCGTTCGTTTTCGCCAGTGGAATGATCCTCGGAGATACACCAGAATATGATGCTAAAAGACACTTAACGACTCACTTGGAACACACATACTCTGCACATGTACATACAAAACATGTAGTGCCTCCGATGTGATCATTCGTCGTAGGGCCAACTCACACTAGTCGGCGGTTAGTCCTCTCATTGCTGCCCATTTCTATGGAGACTTAAAATGTTGGGTCCCTATGATTGCCCTAGCGAGGACAGCCCAACGAGCCCAAGGAAATGAACAATAACGTATATCATATCACTGCCAGGTGCTATCTGTTCTTCACAAGAAAATTTCTCGCCCCGTTAAAGGAACAGCGTCAGCGACAGTATCAAAGCTCATACATATTTAACAAGACGTCATAGCGTTATTTTTGTATTTTTGGGTTAGGTTTGTATACTTTGAACCCTGGTTGTGGGAAGGCGTTTAAGTAGCTTAAGTCGGAGATAGTCGGGGTGTAAAAGTATGTTATAGCTGTGCAAATTTGACTGGGATAGAAACGGTTAGGCACTTTATTTATTGATATGATATGTGCAATATCCATGAACTCTTTTTACACGATACTTGATTCTAGCTCTAGAGATATTTAGTGAGAAAGGGAAGAAGAAGATCGGACAGGAGAAGGAACCTATAAATGAATCTCGAACAGAACATTGGATAGGGGAACTGAATTAAGTGCGAGGTCCCGTAATATACGGATTTTGAGCTGGAGTTGGCGGGGGAGATGACATGGATACCTTACTGACTCCAGTTATTCCGGCACTTTAAGTTATGCTTTCAGTGCTCTCCCAAAGTTGAAGGGGGTAAAGGTTACGGGACAATCAATGGCTTGGTGGTGAAAGGGGGAACCTTCCCCCCCCCAACAACAACAACAACAAAAAAAAAAAAAAAAAAAAAAAAAAAAAAAGACAGGTGGAATGGGATTCGAAATCTGCTAGTTGATGGGAAATCCGTATAAAATGTGGATTTGTCGAAAGCGGAGAACAGAGAACGATGGGTGTGCCTTTGCCAATGAATTGATAATTGGCCAACTGGCGGGGTGGTCGTGAGGTGGTGACGCAGAATGTACCAAAGATGTACCAAAGAGTTAGTTACACAAGAACGCCGTCGAAGGAGGGCTTGCTAAGGCCATGCCTTCC